CCCTGGAAAATTTATACCAATTGATTAGGCAAAATAAGTTTACTTTTTAAATTCTCATGAGATATAAATCATGCATTACAATTTTCTTCAAATGAAATATTACGATAAAGGGCATATTAAAACTTAACCACAGTAAAATCCCATTCTATATGCACACATTTTATGGAATTAAAACAAAGAAGTACAAATAGGAACCATTAGATTAAAAATGAAATAAATTAATCACTACATTTTTTAGCACAAAATTTACTATAAAAGAAAATGTACAGATACTTCAACAAAAAGCCAAAGTTTTATACAATCATTATTGTGCTTGGAAGTTCAGGCACATAGGCTTTTTACCTACAATTCACAGCCAGAAGGTATTTATTTTTACTTGAATAGGCATACAAAAAATGACATTTATTGTAGCTAAAGATATGGTTCAAACAAGCATGTAAACAATGAAAAATGATTTTTTAATTTTTTTTTTAACAAGGGTAGGTGAAAAATCTGCTCACACCTTGATGCCATCAAATCTGCTCATACCTTGAAGCCATCTCCAAGGTTATGCGAGGATGTAAATGATTGCGACCCACTAAAATGCACCTCTCAATGTCACTTCCTTCTTGACAGTGAAAAACAGTTTCTTATTGGAAATTGAAAATTCTAATGACGTCTCCAACTTTCGTTTCATTGGCCCCTGCACTCTCTCAACATCATTCTGTTTCTTGTTCTACTGTCTTTAAAACATCTACAACAACATTCATTAAATTGGCATCATTGCTTATCCTAACAGAACATCTCCAAGAATTTAATGTAGTCAATATTGCATCAATAGCCCCAACATTTATCACAGTAGCTGGCACATCTTCATCCCCTAGCCTCACTATTTCACAGCCTTCAAAGAACACTCTCAAGTGTAAATACAACTCTATTCAAAGAGACGCAGTTATCCTAGGATAAGGTGCAAGAACAACTTTATAAAAAGTAATTGAATCACTTTCTTGAAGTACCTTACACTCACTATTATTAAAGAAGGGAAGTTGGGATTTCAGTTCTTCAAATGAGGAGAAACTTGCCATTTTGTGAACATTTATGAGTGATCCACATTGCTTGGGCAGTAAGTATTTTCAATTTTATTTATTTTATATTATTTGTTTGTTTTTTCCTCTAAATTCACTGTATTTCTTTTGTTCAACTTGTGGTAATGTTTAAATTTCTACTCCTGGCTAGAGACCCACTGAGGATGGGAAAAGTGTTTCCTGAAAGTTAACTCTGGATAATAATTAATAAAATTTTTTAAACCTTTTGTGGATGATTCTTTCCTTTACCATATTATGGGTTACCACAAGGTATCTGCTACCACCGTGGAATTTATTATTTATGTTCTGTAGATATGATTCTACACAATATTTTGGTTTAAACATTTACATAATTCGAGGATAAATGAATATTTGAATATATTTTGCCAAATAAAGGAAGACGTTTGGGGTTGGGGAGGGGCACGACCCCAATGCCCCTCCCTGAATCCTCCAGAGCCCTTCACTTACCATTTTCATAGATTTTACGCTTTTCCGTAGAACATCTCCTTCAATGTTAAACTGATTTGGATCCGAAGACCTTTGAATTAGTGGATGGTTCGTACTGCTTGTGGAAACCGAACTGAAATACTTATTAAACGCATTAGCTTTTGCCCGAGCGTCTATAATGACCGCGTTTCCATTTTCACGAACAACAGACGTGCTCTTTATTTCCGAATATATTTATAAAATCCATCTCTACGGACATATTTATAAAATCATGTCTAGTTATTTTCCTTCCGGTCTAGAATATTTTTTTAAATACGCCTCCTGAGCATTTTTTTTTCTCGCTCGAATTGTTTTGAACACTTTTGCGTCCAAACGTTCAAACGATTTTCACCAAAATTGATGTTCCCTCATCGATCTGGCCAAACACGAGGAACTGCGAGTTTGTTTTTGGTTAGATGGGGTTCTTTACTCGAAGATTTCAATTTTTCATTTTTTGCCTCACAGATGGTTTCAATTTTTTCCCGATAGAGCGAAGAAAGCTTAAAAAGTGAAGCAGCATGAAGTGCTTAAAAAGTGGCGAAGTTTGAAGGGAGAAGAATTCGAAAGAATTCTGACCGCAAAAAAACTCAGTTTTCGTTTTAAATGGACATTCCATTGAGGGTTGACTGAATTGTGACTCATAAATTTTGTAACCATAACATCGGCCAATAGTTCATCGCTCGGTTTTAATGGAATACGCAATTTTTTTTTATTTCACATGAAAAACTGCGTTTACTATTGATTTGCAATCACTGAACCAATTTGAAACATTTGAAATTGTCCTCTTTATTGCTCCTTTTTTGCAAATAATAAATAAATAAATAATCGTATTAAGGTTTATGTCAGGTTATTCCGTGCATCCGTAAGAAGAAAAAAGTTGGTGCCTTTAAAAAACAATTCTCTCTTTTTTTAAATATTTTCTAATTTACTAATATTTTTTTTTAAAAATGCACATGACAATCATTAAATAACTAATTGTACAGAACAAAACTGAGGAGATCGCTGTCTTCGTATTGTAGTTGTAGAAAGACACAAAAAAATAACAATTTTGCAATTTTTGAAATCGTTTATTTTGTTTTTATCGAAAAGTTTATAAAAATCGCAAAGCTTCAAGTCGAGTCAGAATGGTTGGAAAATATTCATTTTGGAAAAGCAGCTATGACTAGTTTAGGCGCTAGTATTGTCTACAGACGGGCGGTCATGTTGAAAAACACTCTTTCGGTATTAGGCGTCCCAAAACGTATTTCCGTTCTCGAAATCGATTTTCTGCTGCATTACATAACTTTCTGTACACTACGTATATAACTCCGTGTATACATACGTAGATGAGAGAGTAAAAATAATTATAATCAACAAGGGAACAAATTGAAAAGAAATTTTGCAGAGGAACCGGTTTGTTTATAATAATGAACTTAAACATTTGGACACAAGACAATATGCTATCAACTTAAATTGTTTGATATCTGTGATCTGTTTTTCATACCATAAATTGCATATTTTAATATTTCCAATAGCAATATGTTTAGTATTTTAATTCCTGAACCTTTAAATGCCTCATTCTTGGAGCCTTCCCACATGGCGTATGCCGTGAGAGGAATACAACCGCGATCCCAATTATTTTATTTTTTAGGGACTGTTAAGTTTTATAAATTCGAAGTATTTCAGAAAGAGGCGAAAAAGGTCGAAATTCGCTCTCTTTTCCGTTATCTACTTTTCCCGTAGTCCAACGGATCCGCCTGCATAAAAACTATTCTAAATGACATTTTCAGGGAAATAAAATATAATGTTATAAGAAATATTGTTGAACATGTAGGAATTTGTTTATAGTACAGTCAGTGTAACGAAATGACGTACAATTAGTCACTATTTAAAAGTTATTTTATTATGTCATTACCAACAGTTGCTACAGCAGCGCCTCCGTACTCAGCGGCGAGTCCTAGTACGATTTTAGCTTAGTATCTGTCAGTTCACAGAAGGGCGAGGTCTTCGCCACCATAATGGTCTCCACCACATTATATGGGAGTCATAGGGCCCTGGTCTTCCCTGTGTCCCGTGCTCGCACATCTGGTGGCGTCGGCATCTATACCCATTCGTGCCTTACCGCAAGCCACGATTTGTTGCATCCAAACTTACATTGAAAGTGCCGATTGATGCGAAGTATTTCAAAGCCGTAAGTAATGAATTGAATAGTGCGATATTATATGCATTGAGATATGTGTAAAGATAAACAAAAACTACGAATTATCCGCGCTCGTGTTTTTGAGCCTTCATTTCGCTAGATTTGTGTAGTTCGTGTTTATTTGCAAAACAGTTTCTTTTATACGAGAGCGCACTTTTCTGGTAATTAGGTTTTGTCAACAACGCTCGTCGCCAACATTTATTCCAAATTCCACTAATTGTAGAAAAGGAGTGAGGGTGGTTATTCCGGGGCTCGAGAAAACTTGCACGTATAAATACTACGCGAACCTTGAGATTGGATGCGCATAAGATTGTGGAATAAACGGTTTCTTTTTTGTTTTGTTTTTTTCATTTCGGTTGTCTGAAGTCAAACTACTTAATCCAGAGCAATGTTATAATAATCCCTGGCTCCCTTTTAGAAACTAAAATCCGTTTGTAATAAGTGAGCAAATGCTGACATGGCTGGTTGTTTTGCTTCTGGACATAAAGTAACTTCATTATCTGGGCACGTCTTGTAGAATTCAATGGGAAATGTAGTTATTCAAATTACCGTTCTCCATGATGTCGCGGCAGAAAGTTTTTTTTTTTCCCACGAAGGCCATGATGGATAAGAGCCCAAATTTATAGCTGATTTACCCTTGAAAATAAATTATATTACATAGGAACGATTATTTTAACAATCATTGCAAAAAACCCATTTCTTTCTGTTTTCGATTCAACTAGCATATGGCTTAGGGTAGGGATCACAGAATTATGAAAACGAGTACAGAATTCACTTATCCCCGTAGCACGTCAAATAGTTTTTTACTGTCTTTGGTGTAAAATTTAAAATATAGTGTTTGAACTTAGAAATAATACAGCTTTCTTATAGTAATAGAATGATAGTGATTACTTGAACATAAAAATTCTAGTAATTCATTACATGAGATGGTTATAGTAACGCAGTTGAAAATGTTGATTTACATATGACAATAGTGCATCCAAAATGCTAATTGTAGCCAAGAGTTAACTTTTTGTAAAGGACATCGGGTAGCTTTTTACCTCGTCGCTGGAGAGAATAACAAAAAAAGCATGAAAGGCGAGCGGCAACACAATTTTGCAGGGACAAAGAGAATAACAAAAAAAGCATGAAAGGCCAGCGGCAACACAATTTTGCAGGGACAGAGAGAATAACAAAAAAAGCATGAAAGGCCAGCGGCAACACAATTTTGCAGGGACAGTCAACGTCGCATGGCTGACGGAAATTTCGAAGCCTCCGGGTGAAGGCCTGTGATGGTTTTAGTTAGGGTAAATGAGGCCAGTATTTGCACCTCCCTTTGGCTTCTCCATGGATCTGCATTTGCTATTTATTATTGGGTATGTTAAAGAAACTTTTACTTTGGTAACATTCAATATTTTGCGCTAATGCGACTTCAGTGCTGCAATGGCCGTCATGAATTGCAGCGTTTTGATAGTGTTATCATATAAATAAAACAAATGAATACATTTACATGCTGGAGATCTCAGTTAACAAGACCCCCCAGATTAAACCTTAAAATACCTTTCGTACTTTTTTCAGACCGCTGTTTTTGTACGTAGGCTGATTTATGGAATTTTCTCGTGCCGTAGTTTGTTCAAACGTGCTTAAATTTTTAATCTTCGTTGCTTACTACGCTTAGTACTTAATTCTGAGGTTTATTAATAAAATGTGATTACATGTACTAAGCTTGCCTATAGAAATGCTAGAAACAATCTTACTTCTACCATGCTTACTTCTAGAAATAGCTCTTTAGTTTATTGTAATAAAACTAGTTTTCAAGGAATGAATAAATATAGCTGATTAAATCTTGTTTATTAGTTAAATTAATCTTGTTTGGTGTTTTCGATGAAGCTGCTACATTGATGATATTGCGTTTCAGCTTTTTGAAAAACTTTTTCAACTCTTTGGTTTTGAGAAATTTACGAACATTGGTGAATACTTAACACATTCGATATGGAGGGGTTTATTTTTGTTCTTGTATTTAGTACAATAAGCATTTTAGATTTCGAGAAATATACCTCATATGTTTAATGAAGTGCGAAAACGTTTGAGCTATTTCATATCGTATGCTACTATTCTATCGAGTATTTTTATTTGTTGAACACCCTCAGCCCGTCTGCATTGAAGAATGGATGTTTTCATATGGCATGCAAGAAAAATTGACGGTGATACATATGATTTCCGTTATTAAGTGAACAAAGCCTCAGAGCTTATTTAATTTTTTTTTGTTCTTTGACGAAATTACAGAAACAAATTATATAATTACGTATGTATAAGAGAAAGTAAAAAATCAATAAGAATATCAACAATTGAAAACGTTACCCTACAAAACGTATTTTCTCTCCAGATCTTGAACACTTTGGCGCAAACCGCACCCCGATACCTCATACTGCCTTGAAGGTATTCGGCCCCGCGATCATTGGTGGTCCCTCCTGCACATGAATCGGAGGAAATGTCGCATTCGATTGGCTCAAGTATTTGTCGACGCAGACGACTGAAGGGCAAGGAAAACGCTGAGAAGTCAGCATAATTGTGCGTATGCGAGGATTTATACAATGTGTATGTGTTTGCATGTATGCAGTAAGTATATTAAGTGAATACATTCTTCATATTTTAGAAATAGAACACTACAATTAAAGTGATAATGTTTTTTTAATGAATTTTCCAGGCTTAATTCTGTGCGTCTTCATATCTAAACAGACCACTCAGCTGTTGTCAATGGTCGTATTTCGCGTTGGTTCGAATTTATAAGAAGTTATTCAGTTATTATTTTTAACAAGCGAACTTAAAATCTTATTATTCAGATTGTAGAAAGATTTGCAGAATAATTTTGACATCAAATAATAGAAAAGTTTGGTTTCTGTATTTTTCAGGCTGCTTACTGGTCATCAGCGACTCCACGCATTCGAACAAAAAAGGATTCAATGGCCGACACGTAACACATCATTGCTATTGTTATTATTATTGTTGTTGTGTTGATGCTGTGGTTGGTGGTGTTGTTGTTGTGGTTGGTGGTGTTGTTGTTGTGGTTGGTGGTGGTGTTGTTGTGGTTGGTGGTGGTGTTGTTGTGGTTGGTGGTGTTGTTGTTGTGGTTGGTGGTGTTGTTGTTGTTGTTGTGGTTGGTGTTGTTGTTGTTGTGGTTGGTGTTGTTGTTGTTGTTGTGGTTGGTGGTGTTGTTGTTGTTGGTGGTGGTGGTGGTGGTGGTGGTGTTGTTGTTGTGGTTGGTGGTGGTGGTGGTGGTGGTGTTGTTGTTGTGGTTGGCGGTGGTGGTGGTGGTGGTGTTGTTGTTGTGGTTGGTGGTGGTGGTGTTGTTGTGTTGTGGTTGGTGGTGTCGTTATGATCATCATAACCGCCCAACGAATCAATTAATCAACGAATCAAAGTGAACATGTTACCGTGTTCATATTCGTTCCACCTATTTACACTAAGTGTAGCCTAGTTTAAATAAAATGTTACGCTGCGTACTACAACTCATAGATGAACGTAAATTCTAAAACTAAAATTGGATTAATCAGTGTGATTTTATGTTTTTCAGACGGATTGCTGCCTACACGAAGAGTTCTGTAGAACAGTGGAAGCACATTCCTTTGGAGACTACTTTGGAGTGTGGGTGACTACGTTGCATATCCAAGGCAATCTGGTACTTTTAATGCGGGATGAACACAACTAGCTCTGAAACACACCTAACATTATTTTATTTCCACCACTAAAGTATACTTGTACTATTTTTTAAACCCATTTTTGAGGAACAAGGGAGCATCTCAGCTCAGCAACTCATTACATGGCTAGACATGCTGTGCATTCGATGCTGGGTGTTTGGATAAGTGTATGATATGCTCTGTCATTCTTATTTAATACAATTGATTACAATTCTATCAGTAATTAGTTTTATTTTTTAGATAGTTTGTGTAAGAAATGGGCTGCAGAAATACAGCAGAGAGCTTGAAATACGGAGCGTGCGCAGGTAAGTTGGGATTTGAGCATTGGTTTGTTCTTTACTAATGGGATTTATACATTAATCTTGTTTTTACAAATTCAACCTCTAATAAATCATTTGCTTATATTTGCCTTAAATTTGGGACTATAATGTAACAAACTTAATAAGAAACTGTTAATAAATCGTACTTATCAAATTTGAATTTCTGTAATTTGAATAACAAAATCGCACAAAACCGCGGCCCACACAAGTCTATAATACACAGAATATAGAAACAAATCGCTTCTCGTGGGCCTCCCCACGGAGCTTTGAATATACGGCTCCATGGTCCTACGTCACAAAATCGGCGCCTGGCTTTGTTCCAGAGGGCGCTGGGTGCGGCCGTCGCGATGTTGCAGGCTCTCAACCCACTAACTCTTTCACTTCCGACGGCGTCGATATCCGTTTCTGTCTCCTATTTGCCTTCTATTCCGTTTGCTATTGGATTTGAACGTACATTGAAAGTGAACGCTGAAGAAAACTAATTGACAGCCGCAAGTAACGCGTAAAATAGTTAGGTATTATATGAATTTGTGTGGAACGCAAAATTCATAGCAAAACGTCCCGCAAACAGGAACTTATGATGCGCTGCAGTTCCTGAAGAGAGCTTGTAGAAAACAAAATATTCAAAATCCACAAAGTTTTTTCCCCTCTTCAATTGTCTAGTCAATCTTCACGTATATAACAGATTAGTTTTCTAATATTCAATATCTTAATAGTAGAAACAATAATATTCGTAATAAGGGTTATTTGAAGTTAGAAATTATATGTATTTCTTATTGCATTAGATATAAACATAGTGTAAGATATTTGTATCATATTTGGCGGATTATCTAACTCGTTCTAATAGTTTTGACAATTCTCAAAGATTTTGTAGTGAAATGTCTACTTATTTCTAAAATAACAATTACAGCTTTTGTTTTTTTTTCAACATTTTTGAGTGGAATTTCATTATTTTACTTGCAGTGGATTAAAATAAATTGATAGTAATATTGTTTTCTGAACTTAAAACATTACTATTAAATAAACAAGATAACAGACGTAAATATATTCCTTAAAATAAATTTATTTATATATTTATGAATACTTTGGATTTTGATCCGAAATATTCACAAATTTTCGACTGATCCGAATGTGTACGCAGTATTGGAAATTTCCCTTTAGTTAACTTTGCAGCGACGATCAAAATTCGCAGTATTCTTATTATTTTACCGTGAAATCGTATTTCCTACCCTTGATGTGCGTTACCTTCACGTGTATTTGGGCTATTCACTACAAACCGTAGCCAATGAGTTTCTCTAGTTGAGTAAGATGCTCACATACATACTAATTTTCTATGGTGTTACATGCACTTAACCCTAAAACCATATGGTTAGATTTAGACCTGCGACTCGATTAAAAAGCTGGGCCTTGTCCCTTACCTCGACGCCCCGCGGTAAGAAAAAAGCGAAGAACAATCGACCAGACTGAGGACATTCTTGTTCCGTTGGTTAAATACGCGAGCTTAAACATGTACAATTTAGAGACAAACGGTTTCTTTAATTTAACGTAACTTTTTAAGAAAGAGAAAGTATTGTAATGGTGCGCCGTAAAAAAGCGAAACTAAAATTGCCGGGCCCTGGAAATTAAACAATGGATAAAATTTGTTCCTGTGTATGATACATTACTTTCTGTAACACTGGGTAGTCGGGTTTAATGTTTCGTGGATCCTCGGTAGTTCAGGCAAAAATAATGAAAAATAATCAGTATTTTTTTTGAAGGCTAGTAACAAAACTAAAACATGAAATATCGTAAAAAATACGACCTCATCAGCTCGTTACTTAGCAGAGAATGTTGTTTTAAAGGATAATGAAAGAGAAGTCAGTAATCCGAAAAAAAGTGGCAAATCTCTTCAACCAACCCTTTTCTAGAATTTCGGCTGAACTCACGAAGGGGCTAAAACCTCAAAATTCAACATCATTACCGTCCGAAAAAAAATTTCGACATGTTTATTTCCGAAACTTCTAACAAAATCTTACAAAGAGTACGTGAACTAAAAAATATTCATCTGGTTCAGATGAATTCCGGATTGTTTATTGAAAACTTGTGTACCTGCCTTACTACACCAATTAACTCACATTTTCAATGCTTCTTTATGCACAGGAATATTTCCAGATATTTTAAAAACGGCAACAATTAAGCCATTTTTTTAAAAAAGGAAGCAAAAATGTAATTCAAAATTACCGACCAATTTCTCTTTTGTCAGGTTTCTCCAGAACATTAGAGAGGCTTTTCTATACGCGAATGGAAACTTTTCTCAGGAAAATCGAAGAGTTTTCAGTCTGACAACATGGGTTTAGAAAATCTACGGAAACTGCAATTTTCTTTTCTTAAAGATGTTGCTTCATCAATGGGCCAAAACATTGGAAGCATCCATTGGAATATTTTTAGATCTTTCGAAAGCTTTTGACTTTATTGACCATAACATCATGTTATGAAAATTACCTTCTCTGGAGTTCGTGTAATCGCCTTAGATGGGATAACCTCGTACCTTAAACATCGATCTCAAAGAGAAGAAATACCGTACTTGCACGAAAGGACATTGTTTACTTATTTTTCCAATTCTTTTCCAATTGAAGGCTGGATTGTAAGTCCCATCCTTTTCTGTTATATGCAATTGATATGCCGTCGTCTATTAACAACGGAAGAACGGTTCTGTTTGCCGATGACACGAATGTTCTTTGCAAAAACGAAACAATAAATAGTACGATTTTAGAAGTTTCAAATTAGTTTAATAATAAATTAATAGTTAATAAAGGAAAAACGGTTACAATGCATTTTTGCATTTCAAATCATCAATATCAATTGAAAATTAATTTGCAACTAAGTGATGTTCAGGTAACAAAATTTCTAGGTCTCTCAATTCTGTCGAACCTTAAATGGAATGTACATATAACAAAATTAAACACTAAATTGAGTTCATTATGTTACGCATTCATAATTCTATCAGCCTTCATGCAGCTCGTTGCGTGCATTTTGAAAATGTATTTTCCCGCCTAAGATATGGCATAACATTCTGGGAAAACTCATGTCAATCAAACCTTTACATTGCAAATGAAAATTATTCGAATAAAGAAAAAATGCCATCTACGTTATCCTTGCAAGCCGCTCTTCATTAAGCTTGGAATCTTACCACTGCCTTCCCTATTTATTTACGAATCTGTAATATTGGTCAAAAGTGACTTAACGGTGGGAATATATTTTCATGTAATACTGATATTTATAATTACAACACACGTCGTAAAAATCACGTTCATCGTGTCAGTATTACTATCAGAAATCCACATACAATACATGTACGTTACTCTACAACGCATTGCCATATGACATTAAACAATTGAAGTCGGTTCTCAAATTTAAGTTAAAAATAGTATATTTTCTTCTGCATAACTGTTTCTATACTATTAGAGACTATACTGATTATCATATCAAACAATTTTTATCGTAACAAAAGTGATATATATTAGTTTAGATTTGTATTGTATATTTTTTACAAAGACTTAATGTTTGTAACAAATAAACTACTTCAGCTTCCGGGTCAATGACCGCCATCTCAATCAGGTTTTTGTTCAGTTTCCCTGAAACATTGAGCAAATGCTGAAATGGCCCCTTGATTTGCTTCTGGACGTAAATGTAGCTTCAGTATGCGCACTTTATTTTGAACTCTCCTTTTGCTTGTAGTGGTAGGAGTGAAGGTAAGGGCTAGTTACTATTTTGTTAGCAATGCAGAAAAATCATACCTGCAATTCGTTTACCGATGCAAATAAGTTTTCTATTACTTGGAAATGAGAATGTATTTTTTTTCAAATATTGCTAATCTCGCATTTTTTAAAATTTATTTTTAACCTTTACTCATCTTTCAACTATTTATAGTTAAAATGCGGGAAGGGATTCTGGAATTCCAGAAAACGTGCACAGGTAATCTTCTCCTCCTACGATGCATACAGTTTCCCTACATACATACTGTTTTTTGACTAAATAAATCTAATCTAATCTAACCTTAATAATCTGAAAATTACAAAATATCAAACTTTTAATCGGCGTATTTTTACAACTACCACGTAAAAAATAGTTTTTAACTTTTCCGTATACATAGGTATATACGGAGAAATAAACATAGTATTGGGAAAGTTCTATAGTGCTCCGCAAAAAAAACTACGGATTTCGGCAGAAAAAAATCATTGTCCGGTCATGATAACGAAAAAGTGGATAAATCCAATTGCCAAATTAAGGGGGGAAATATTTAATTTAAGGGGGGTAGTTTTCGCGCAATATTGCGTGCAATATGTGCAATTTAAAAAAAATTACAAAATTCAAGATTTTCTCAAACGGCGCCAAATGTTTTCTTAAAACTTTTGGTAGGGAGAGTGCAAAATGTACTCAATAAGATGACATAAACACCTTATTACTCGATTCTTTTCCTTTTTTTCAAAAAAATACGAAAATTTAATTTATTTGACATATCTGGCGTCGTTAATATTTGTTAGTGGTTATGTGTTCACATTATTATATTTGACTATATCTGCTTTAAATAATAACGTAAAGTTTCTCGAAAACTCAACCTTTTTCTGTGAAAACTAGCTCTAAAATTCGCATTTTCACACACGCTCGAACGCCATTTTCTCAAAAACGGCTCTAAATTTTGTCGCCAAACATATCGACGCGATAGTGCTAATTGCACTGTTTAATATAACGTAAAGTTCTTTATGGGGTATTTTTTATTTTTTCTACAATTATTCAAATGTAATTTTTTGGAAGAACTCTTACGCCGTTAATATGCTCATTTGCACTAATAAGTAAACGCTACTGTATTAGTGAGTTAATGTGCGTTAAATGACTTCTAATAATGTTTTTCGAAAACTCAAAAAAAAAATGTGAAGAACTTTAAATTTTCAATTCACATTAGAGTTTAAATGCAATTTTCATAAAAATGGCTAGAAAATTGCCAAAGAA